ACATTCTGAGATTTAAGATCTGATAAATCAATTTTGTAAATGTTGTTCTTTCTCTTGCCAGAAAAGAGGATTGATCCATCTTTTCGACTTACAGCTCTACAGGAGTTTTGATTGAAGATAATGTCATAACCATTGTCACTTAATTGACTTATGGATAATAGATTATGAGCTAATACTTCTACTAATAAAACATTAGAGATATAAGGAAGATTACCATTTCCAATGGTTCCAGAACCAATAATCTTCCCTTTCTGATTACCTCCAAACTTCATGTCTCCTCCAACTTTAAGTTCCAGGCTTTGGAACATAGACCTTTTTCCCGTCATGTGTCGTGAGCATCCAGAGTCCAGGTACCATGACAGGTGTCTCAATTGAGCTGTTAAGGACATCTGCAACAAATATTATTTTATCCTTAGGTACCCATATCTTTTTGGGTCCTTTTGGGTTAGCATAAGAGTTTCCAGAATGTGATGTATATTTTATATTATGTGAGTGTCCAACCTTGAATTGTTTATTCAGAGGTTTGTAAGTGAAAGTCATTTTAGCAACAGGTTTTGGTATGTATGTCTCCTTCCCTTTGGGAGGTTCATATCCAATTCCTCTTCTGTTTTTCCCACTAACTCCATAGATCATTGAAGCCATTTTGCTTCTATCTATGCTTTTAGCTAGAAAAGTTTGAAAACTATAGTCATATTCTTTCAGAATATCGTTTGAACTAGACACAAATTATGAACTAGATATTTTTTGAACATTTTGAATTTCTTCTTTAAGTTTAAAATTATTTTCTAAGAGTTCAAATTTTTCTGCTTCATGTTTCTCAATATCAAATGCAAGACTCTTCTTGAGTTTCTTGTATTTGATTTTTGAGTTTACTATAGTTTTCCAGAAGTTCTGATAAACTATCAGCAAGTTTATTTCTAGTGAATTCAGAAAATACCTCTCTTTGTTCTGACTCAGTATGAGTCATCTGCTGTGATAGCCATCAGAGCTAGGTTGGCATTTTCATCTTTAGAACCAGATTCATCTTCAGAAGAATATGAGTCATCCCAGTTTTCCATCATCCCTTTCTTCTTACCAAACCTCTTCTTTGGTTTTTCTTTTTGAAGCTTTGGACAATCACTTTTGTAGTGACCAGGTTCTTTGCATTCATAACAGATGATCTCTCTTCTGTTTGACTTTTTGTGTCCAGAAGATTCAGGTTTATCTTCTGACTTCTTGAAGTTCCTGAACTTCTTTTGTCTGTGCTTCCACAAATGATTGATCCTTCTGGAGAGCAAGGATAACTCGTCTTCTTCTGACGCTGATTCTTCAGAGTTTTCCTCTTCAGCCTGAAAAGCGTTAGTATCAAATTTCTTAATTGATTTAAGGACAAGAGACTTACCTTTGTTCTGAGGCTCATGCTCATCCAGTTTAATCTCATGACTTTTGAGAGCACTGATGAGTTCATCCAGAGACACGTTGTTCAGATCTTTTGAAACTTTGAAAGCAGTGACCATTGGTGCCCATCTTCTGGGTAAGCTTCTGATGATTTTTTTCACATGATCTGCTTTGGTATATCCCTTGTTCAAAACTCTCAGACCAGCGATCAGAGTTTGAAACCTATAGAACATTGCTTCTATAGACTCACTTTCTTCAACTTTGAAGGCTTAATACTTCTGAACTAAAGCCAGAGCTTTAGACTCCTTAACTTGAGCGTTTCCTTCATGAGTCATTTTAAGAGACTCAAACATATCATGCGCTGTATCTCTATTAGTGATTTTTTCATATTCTACTTTAGAGATAGCATTTAGAAATATATTTCTAGCTCTATGATGATTTTTAAATTCAGCTTTTTGTAGTCTATCCATATTTTTTCTGTCAACTTTGTTTCCTTCTGAGTCAGTAGGATGTGTATAACCATCCAGGACTATATCCCATAGATCACTATCATGACCTAGAAAGAAACTTTCTAGTCTGTCTTTCCAGTACTCAAAATCTTCTCCATCAAAAATAGGAGGTTTGTTGTAACTATTGTTGTTTTATTCAGCAACCATTGTGTTTTCTTCTGGATCTTTTCCTGACACGGTTAAGTGTTGAGCTCATAGTCAAGCTCTGATACCAATTGAAAGGGTAATAAAACACTTAGAAGGGGGGGGGGGGGGGTTGAATAAGTGACTCTTTTTCTTCACAAAACAAAGCTCAACAATAATGGAAGGACAATGTTATTTTTATCCTGGTTTGTTTGAACTCAAACAACTCTAGTCCACCCGTCAAGGTGATTTTGCCTTTCTCAACAAGGACTTAATCCACTATAATCAACTGATTACAAACACACAACAACTGTTGTGACTAACAATGCACAAGTAATCTTACAAGTGACTAACACCACTAAGACTTAAATCTAGTCATAGTCTATTTGAGAAATCTGACCAAACTTGGTCTCTCAAGGAACAATTTCAAGAGTTTAATATTACAGATAGTGAAATAAAATTTGCTTCTAATCAAGCTATATCACAACTGTGATTTTTCACTTAGAATAAATTGCACAAAGTGTATGAATAAAAAGTTTGTGAGCCCATAATTTTTCACGTAGTTTCTTGCTTCTTTTTGAAATATGATTGGTTAGTTGGCTTGCAATAAATATCCTTCTATATAGTAAGAACAAAATGACCGTTGCTACCTTCAGAAAAGTGGAGAGCATTAAATGCTTGCGTGTTTCCTTGCACTATTCCATTTTCCAAGAAACTAGCTTAGACACTTGAGTGCTTGCAGTCGTCTTTGCATTAATGAGCAAACGACAACTTGTAAGAATATGTTTCCTTCGCTTGACAAGACAAGTTGGCTTTAACGTTTATTCAGAACTTGCTTCAATGTCTTGAATTCAAAACATGCTTTACTCATCTTCTAGGCAGTGCTTTGCTTGCTAAGAACTTGACCAGCGCTTGCTTTCAAATAACTTTTGAACAACACTTACTTTCAAGTAATCTTCTGAGCAAGGAATCCTGCTAAATGTTAGAAGATATATTTAAATAAATTGTTTTACCAGAGTCAGCAGTTACGCTTAAAAAGGTTCTTTCATCAAAGAACTTCTTCATAATTTTTTGCTTAGCACTTCATAATGCTTCTGTCAGAACATTATCTGAAATAGTCAAATACGTTCGTCAGAGTATAAATTATCTAAAATATAATTTATTGTTATTATCAAAACTCTGAGATAGATCAGAACTAATCTTGTTCTAACAGAAATTTCATTAAAAACAAGCTTACCAAGTGCATTCAAACGATTTACAAGATGAGTGAACCTTTTTGCATATCGATAATGGTTTCACCATATTTCATATGAAATAGTTCAAACTCTTGGTTCAAAATATCAGTTCTAGCCTGTTTGACCTCATTTGTGCCCTCATGGGCAACTTGCAATGAGTCCCACATATCTTTGGTGGTTGTGCAATGGGAAACACAATAATATTCATCAACTCCTAAAGAGGATATGAAATATTCCTTGCTTTCTAATCATACGATCATAATTTCTCATCATTTGTGTTTCATTGTGCTTCTGGTTTAGGCACAACAACACCTTTAGCTTTGGTCAAGGGAATTGCAAATGGACCATTTTGGATGGAGCTCCATACCTTTCTATCAACTGAATTAAGACAGATACACATACATATTTTCCCAATAACCATAGTTTTTGCCATTGATAACGTACACTCTATTATACGCCATTTTAGATTCGAAATCCATAATCTAATAAGTAATTTCGAAGCAGAAGATAAATTGGTGCTCGTGATACCACTTACACGATATGCTACAATCTAGAAGGGTGGGGGTGAATAGATCACAAACAAAAATTTCTTATTTAAAAATTGTTATAAAAATTATTTAACTATGGCAAGCAAAAATAATCCCAAATCGACAATCGTCTATCCCGAACTGTTATCGAAAAGATCAGATATGCGTCAAACCGTATATAACGTATTCGATTGATGTGAAAATTAATCAATATATTTTCAATAACAACATTTGAACGAAGTCAAACAATGATAATTGATTTCCAATGAAGTATCAAATAATACTCAACTTAAGCAATTTGTCGAACATTTGGTGTACAATCTATTTTAACCAGATTTTTCTTTGATTTTGTTGATATGAAAACTCAATTGTAATTTTATAGATTACAATCAACTCAATAAAATAGTTTGAAATATTAAACAAAGAAATTATCTCAATGTATCAATAACACAATCAATGATTTCATAATTTGCAAGTAAAAGTAAGAGAGAGAGAGAGAGAGAGAGAGAGAGAGAGAGAGAGAGAGAGAGAGAGAGAGAGAGAGAGAGAGAGAAGTGGTCAAACTCGAGTATCATTCACCCTCACTTGACACTGATGGCAAGATAAAGTCACTCAGTTTGCACTGAAGGCCGATGACGATTTAAAAGTTATGTGGAGTACTTTTCACCGATACTCTACTAAGAGTCCGATTGAAGTAGATGCGAAACTTCATAGGTCAGGGAGAAGATGCTATCAAAATGTTACAACGTCCTCAACTACCCGTTTATAATAATATGTAATGTTAAATTTCGATTTCACTTTATATATAATTTCGACTATTTATGTTAAGTCTATGTTAAGTTGCTTTAATTTTAAGGTTTTTGATTCTGTTTGGTAGTTAGTGTTTATTTCGAATATGTGTTTCTGAAAACTACTATTTAGTGACTTCTAATATGCATCTCCAAATCTATTCGATAAAAAACTGAAATATGATAACTTCAAATGTACATTTTCGAATTAGAGAAATATTACGAAAACTTCATTAATGACCCCTAAGAAGTCCAAAGGGTGTATTAAGAAACTCCCGATTATTATTTCGTTTGCATCAAATATCGTCCAACATAGGGGTGTAAATACTAAATCGTAAACCCAAATATCACAATTTGCTAACTCACCACTCATCTTCTAACCCCATCGCACTGAAACTCGCTCGGTTACCCCATTCGTGCAGTCGACCAAAACCGGTAGACATGGCCGCGGAAACTGTCGTTTCCAATCCCGGCGCAAGCTCCGGTGCCACCAAGAAATCGCGGGAGAGCGAGCGCCGTCGACGTCGCCGGAAGCAAAAGAAGATCAATAATAGTTCGAAGGAACCAGATGCAAACGCCTCCGAAGTCGTTAACGACACAACCACTGAATCACAACAGGTTATAATCTTTCGTCTTGTTCTCTTCCAGCATTTGTGGATAGGTTAGGTTTGAAATCGAAAATTGGCCTATCACTATAAATTATATTGTTCACATTTGCTACAGAAAAATTGACGGTGTTTGAACTTGAATTGAGCTTGTTCTTTAGCATTTCATAGTTTTAGTATTGGTTGAAGGGCATGTGAATGTGAAGTAGGGAGACACCAAAGTTTTGTTTGATGAATGATAATTGAAAAAGAAATGAGATTGATCTTGATAGTAAGCAGGACACCGGTAGGACACCGGTAACACGACACTGACACGTCGGCATCAATAATAGTTTAAATAAATAAATAAATTAAATGTAATCCCATATGTGCCTTTTTCCAGAGGTGTCCGTGCTCCTGAGGTTAGTGCCCCTAGAATCAATTTGACAATTTTTTTTGCACTAGTAGTATCTTATCCTATTCTTTGTTTTTTGATTAACAAATGTTTAGTACTTATTATGTTAGTAGTGGGGGTTTTAATTTTGAACCACCTTCAACTTCTGAGCTAAACCACTTTAACTACATTTGGGATGAAACCATTTACCATCTAGTTTTGTGGTGAGAGAAAGGTTGGAATTGGCATTACAAAGTGATGAAAAGATTTCTATAATTCTGAGTAAGGAGAAGCTTGATTATTACTATTAGTTAAAGACATCTTCACCTATCAACATTGTCTATTCTCTTTGATTTCAGCGGCTAAATTTATCCATTTTTGTAACCATTCCATCCAAATTTCAGTCACTCATTTCGTCCATTCTCGAAACAGATCCGTATTTCCTTTTATAAAAGAGTGGCAATATTCCAGCCTATGTTCTCAAAGAGCAAACACCATTAAAACTCAAATTGGTAGTCATGCCTATTTAATGTTGTCTTCTGTCTTAAATTTTAGGTTGTCCAACTAGTTGAAATTGAGTATGTCCCGGAAGAGGTAGACGAAGGCTTGGATGAGGAATTTAAAAAAATCTTTGAAAAATTTAGTTTCAACGAGGTTACTGGTACAGAGGTAAGAAGTTTGTGTGAATTATTTATTTTTAAATGTGTCTCTTCATTATTGTTTGATAAATTGTTTACATGGATGAATCTAGGATAATGATAAGAAGGATGAGTCAGCAGAAAATTCAATTACTAATAAAAAGGCGAACTCTGATTCTGATTCTGAAGAGGAAGAAAACGATAACGAGCACAAAGAGAAAGGTGTCTCCAATAAGAAGAAAAAGGTTTAACATTTTATGACATTTATTTATTTTTGTTTATTCAATTTAACTATTGTGTTTACTTCCATAAATATGCTAAAAGTTTTATCTTGTGTTCAGCTTCAACGCAGGATGAAGATTGCCGAGCTAAAGCAGATAAGCTCAAGGCCAGATGTGGTTGAGGTTGGTATACATTATGTGGTGCTATCCCCAATTATAAACTTTGAGTTCTCATTCTTAATCTTCAGTCTGGTTTCACATGGCCATTTGCAAATTTAATGCAGCGTTTTTTTCTTCTCTTATTCATTTTAAGGTGTGGGATGCTACTTCAGCAGATCCAAAGTTATTGGTGTTCTTGAAGTCTCATAGAAATACTGTACCTGTACCTAGGCACTGGTGTCAAAAGAGAAAGTTTCTGCAGGTTAAGCAGCATTCTTGATTTATAGTTATGTTTTAGAGATGCATACATTTATTAGGGTTATGGTCTACTTATATGTGGGGTGTATGGATAGAGTTAGGAAGATAACATCGATATGGTTTCTCTTATATGTATGTATGTGGTACTTGCAGGGGAGCAGTTGTGGCAATCACCAAACCTGGAATTGTAGGTGTTTGGCAATGAGTAGCCTGAATGAATCATTTATCTTTTATTTCTGTTAGATTGCTTGGGAATATGGGTGTTGTATAACATGGGCTTATAAACATTTATCCTTTTCTTGTGTAATTCCGTTGGAGATTTATTTATAACTAAGGTGCTAATAGTTATGCTTTGAATTTTCAGATACCTTTCACCGTGCTTAATGCCCGGGCTGAATTCCTCTTGTCTTCATTGTTTTATAATTAATAATGCCTGTCCACATAATTTCATAGTCATGTACACATGTATTATTTGCATCTCATAATTTTTTATTGATTTTGCAGGGGAAAAGAGGTATTGAGAAACAGCCCTTTCAGCTTCCTGATTTTATTGCTGCCACAGGAATTGAGAAAATCAGACAGGTAATGCAATCTCATCTGTTTGCATATGTTATGATTCTGTCTGAATGATTACCCACAAAAAAAGGTAATATTCCAAGAAAACATGGTTTGCGTAATTTACTTACAAAATTAATATGATGTGTATTTGAAATGTCACACTTCTACACTCTTCTGAATTGGCTTTCATGGTCAAACATTGTTCATTAGTTTGACAACCGGATGTTATACTGTTGCTTCAAAGTCTTGCTGTCATAAGACAGATTATGGTGGTCTCCTGATTTTTAATTGTTATACGGGGAGAAATTTGCGTAAATTGAAGAAATAATGTACATAATTTGAGTTTTAGATGTTTCAAATAAGCTACAGTACTGGACACACTTTTTGTTTAAATTGGGAATGTTCATGTGTTTAATTTGAGTTTTAGATGTTTCAAATAAGCTACAGTACTGGACACACTTTTTGTTTAAATTGGGAATGTTGTTAGGTACTTGGTTTGGGCCTAAGCCCACCAAATATGTCAAATAGAGGAATAAGTTATATTTGCTGATGCGGCTAGTTGGTTAGAGGGGAATAATAGTTATATAAAGGATAGGGATAGCAAGGGAGAGGGTATTGAGAATTATTCAGTTAGGAACCGTAATGGTTTGGGCAGAGAGAGAATTGTCTCTTCTCTGAGGAGCTTTGCTCTGGGATTGCAGGGGGTCTATCTTCTGTAATAGTTACTGTTTTTCCATTAATAATATAATTTCTTTTCCTCTTGAATTTGGGTTCCTAACAAATGTTGATGTGTTTTGTCTTCCAACCGGTGTTTTATGTACTTGTTGATCTACATCAGTTGTTCATTTTCCTGTTTCTTTCAACTTAACACAAAACTTTCTCTTTGCAATATATATGTTCATGTCTTTTTATTTATATTTATTACATTAATAGCTACCATCCAGGTTATCTTACATTTTTTCACACAGGCTTATATTGAAAAAGAGGACAGCAAAAAATTGAAACAAAAGCAACGGGAACGGATGCAACCAAAAATGGGGAAAATGGATATTGATTATCAGGTTTCTTTTCTCTTTACTTTTTTTCTAATTTTGCACCATTTTCCTAGCTTGCATACTTTTTTGTTGTGATCATAAGCCAACTATTTCAACCCTTTCTCAAGTGACTTTATTTCTTGGTTGCCAGGTTCTTCACGATGCATTCTTTAAATATCAGACAAAGCCAAAGCTGTCATCTCTTGGGGACCTGTATCATGAAGGAAAAGAGTTTGAGGTATAATTCATTTTAAAATGTTAATGCTAGATTTAAAATACTGCATAGTGCATACACACATGCTTCATAGTGAGTTTTCTAAAACCCGAGATCTTAAGGGCTATTTAGTTTAAAAAATGCTTTTGTTTTCACATCATGTATTCACTTTAAATTGCAAAAATACCAACTGTTTTCAAATATTTGTATAGGAAACAGTGGAAAGTGACTACTTTCAGTTACTTTCTCTATTTTTTATACAAATATTTGAAAAACATAAAATATACTGGAAAACTGTATCGATTTTTTAGTTAAAAGTCAAAATAGTATGAAAATGAACACATTTTTTCAACCTAATTAGGCCCTAAGCTTTTCTTATCTCATCTCCTTGAGTAATAGATAGTTCATGTGAAACTCTTCACCTTTGTCAAATGCAAAAATATTTGTGATGGTTGATTTAAGATCACATTAATTTACCACCTTCTGGTAAGTGTCAATATTATATGACATTGGTATACTGCTTGTTGTGCAGGTAAAGTTGAGGGAGATGAAACCTGGCATGTTATCACACGAGTTGAAAGAATCTCTTGGTATGCCTGAGGGTTCTCCTCCTCCATGGCTTATCAACATGCAGGTAAAATCAGTGTCTTGGAATGTATATGTGATGTTATTCTGTTAATGGTTCTGTATGACATGAAATTTATCTGTTTTTCTTTTCCAGAGATATGGTCCTCCACCATCATACCCTCATCTAAAGATCCCTGGCTTGAATGCTCCCATTCCCCCAGGAGCTAGTTTTGGTTATCATCCTGGTGGCTGGGGCAAGCCTCCTGTTGATGAAGTACATTTTTTATATTCACTCACCTCTATTTAAAATAATAGTTATGGGTTTCTGAATTTTTGTTTCCATCAAGGGGATTTCAACACCCCTTCCTCCCCTTTTTCACTTCATTAACCTCTTTACTTATCTGTGTCTGAGCAGTTCGGGCGTCCACTATATGGAGATGTTTTTGGTGTTCATCAGCAAGATCAGCCTAATTATGAGGTTGGTTTACATAAAAGCACCACTTTGCAATTAGAGGGGTAACTACTGCCCCGTTTAATTGTCCATTGTTTCCCTTTTTATGATTTTCGATATCAAAATCAAGTACCCTTTAAGATTGATATTTGAAACTAAGTTATGTTTGGATAATGCATTTGAAAGATTAGAGGATAATTTAAAGTTCTAAGAAATTTGATTACTTCAATTAAATTTCCTTTAAGTTTATATTTTGTTCTGGTAAAGTATTTATATTTCTTTCACGTAAAATTTTTAATTGGTCAAAGTGTTCAGATTTCTTTTATTGATAAATTTCTTTATTTAGATGATGAAATTATGAAGTGTTATTATCATCTAAAATATAATACCCTCACTAAATTATAAAACTAGGCAAAAAAGGTCTTGTTCCTATATTTCAATAATGGAGTCATCACAATTATGATTCGGTGTGAGTGCTTGTTCTCGATACTGTTGGCTTTGACTTTGAGATATTATTGGCAGTATCAATAAGCAAGGGTTATAATCATCACATCAGTTGTTGCTTTTGTCGTGGACATTTTATATGACTGTTTCTATTCCAACATCAATGATGCTGGGATCAAGAAGTATTCTTTTGCCTCACATGACACGGTCTCTAGCGAAAAGAGGTAAATTTGAAAAGTCCCTAAAGCCTGTTTGATAGTACTGATGTCCCTCACCATGTTGGCCATCATTGCTGTCGACGGCTATTGGGATATTGCTGGAAATCAGTGATGACAAAACTATTGCAGTGAACCCCGCCCTGCTGCTGTCGGTGTTATTTGTTGCCATGATGAGGGTAAAGATCAGGGCAGATCTTCAGTGGCACTTTGTTGCTAGGAGGCGTGAAGGTCACTACAGGAGAGAAGATGAAGATAGGCATCATATGAGCAAATGATGGGAAGTGAGACCCAGGGAGTGGATTTTTGTAATTCCTCCTATTTTGCTGGTGTTTAATTTCCTTGGGTTTGGGTGTTAAAAGTACCCGATCTAGTTGCTTCAAAAGCTGTTTTGATGTGAAGTATTTTATCTAGACATAGTTATGGAATTCCCTTCTCTCTCTTTCTCTCTGATACAGGTCCTCTTCTGTTTTAAAACCACTGTACCGAATTCCCTTCTTAAAAAGTGTATCATTTTAATGTAAAATGTAATTATACGCTTGGATTTTAAGCCGGACAAGATCCCAGTGCTCTATATTTTGAATATTAAGAAGATGGGTGGCTCTGAAGGGGGATCATCTTTTTTTGAAGTTTGGGTGTGTCTGTTGCCACTGTGCAAAGAAGTCTGCTTATTGGTTTTATTTTTCTTTGTCAATAACTCTTGCTATCGGACTCTGTTTTCTGAATTCTGGGTTTATTAATACATACCATGTAAAAGCTTCAGTTTCTATCATATTCGTAGTTACGTTTTACATAAATGTTCTCTCGATCCAGGAAGAGCCAATTGATAAAACCAAACACTGGGGTGACTTGGAAGAGGAGGAGGAGGAAGAAGAGGAAGAAGAGGAGGAGGAAGAGGAAGAAGAAATGGAGGAGGAAGAACTTGAAGATGGTACTCAATCTGTTGATAGCCTGTCAAGGTATTGTTACATTTTATTATTATTTTGGTCAGTCTAGGTTTTTTTAATTTTTTTTATTGGATTAACATAGTAAATGATGAGGTGAAACTAAGAGACCCATCATGTAGTTCATTTAGTTAGGAGCGGTTAATAATTAACTAGCTGACTAACCGCATGAATGTTTCATTGGTCCTTAAATTTAACCTTTTGCTGAACTGATCCATGTTATAGTTCTTTTTATGTTGGTGGTTAGTTTGTGTATACTTTGTTTGTGGAGCTCATATTTTTTGCATTTTTATCTTCAGCACACCCACTGGGGTGGAGACACCTGATGTTATTGACCTTCGTAAGCAGCAGAGGAAGGAACCTGAAAGGCCTCTTTATCAAGTGAGTCTTTCTACTTCTGCTCTTCCATCAGCTTTAATTTCTCTTGATCAGTTAGTTGATGTCATTAATCATATTTTCTGTTAAGGTTCTTGAAGAAAAGGAGGAAAAACTTGCTCCTGGAACTTTGCTTGGAACTACACACACGTATGCTAATTTGTTTTATTTTTTATGGTATTTTGTTTTGTTTTTTCCTTTTCTTCCATCACTATTGTCTGTATCATGATAAATTCAAATATCTATTTCTCTCCAGTTATGTGGTTGGCACTGGCACTCAGGACAAGTCAGGGGCTAAAAGGGTAAGAATGAAGAGTTTCTCGCTATTTTTTGGGTGTGTGTGCCATATTTTCTTGTGGGCTAACATGTTTTAGGTTTCCAGGTTGATTTGCTTAAAGGTCAAAAGACAGATAAAGTGGATGTCACTTTACTGCCAGAGGAGTTGGATGCCATGGAGAACGTTTTACCTGCAAAGTATGACTTATATTTTATATGTTTTGTTGCCCGTTAGTGATTTTATCATCGTCTATCTAGTTTGTTACATCTTCTGGAAGTATTCCAGGTATGAAGAAGCAAGGGAGGAAGAGAAATTGCGGAGTCAGCGTGAGGATTTCAGTGACATGGTTGCTGAGGTGTGTTGTATTCAATTCTCAAATCATACAGTCCTATACTTAATTCACAAATATATCGGTCTTGATTTGTATATTTAATTATCTCTTCATCTGGTGCAGAACGAGAAGAAGAGGAAGAGAAAGATGCAAGAAAAAGATGGCAAGTCCAAGAAGAAAGATTTCAAGTTTTAAGCTTGTTTGGCTCCTCTTTATTTTGCCGGTAAATGGAAGACCTGGAAATTATCTACTCATCAAATTGTCATTTTTCCATGAGCAACAGAGGATTCAAATTTAGCAGTGTTTTTTATTGCATCTGTATAATGTTGTTGTTGCAAGTTGTTGTTTTGGGTAGGATAATCTACTCATGTAATGTTATGATGAAAACCTTATACAGAATTTGGAATTTGTTAATAAGGAAGATACTTAAGGGATTCACATCTTATGTTCTGGTTTGAATTAATTTATTTGGGATTTTTTTGCTGAAAGGGATGCATGTAGGGTTCTCTATCATATTCTTGTTCCAGTGCCAACGTGTAAAATGAAGGGTTCTAATTGGTTTTGACTTTTGATAGTGCAAATTGATATGCATGTAGTTAGATAACTTTGTGGTCCTTTGTTGGATGAGCAGTACTTTTCATTTGACAAATAAGGAATAGGAATCCATTATTCATGGCTTGGTGTCCTTTTCTAGATATACACCCACATATTGGATAGCTTTTCCCCACCATCTATGGTACTTATCAAATGGAAGATTCAGCTAGTACGACTGTAATGCTTGTGTGGGCATTAACATGCAATCTATCCTCATAGACCCCATCGCATGAGTGCTGAACGATAAATAAGGTGGACTATTGTTACCGAGTTAGCTATTTCAACAAGAAAGATCTTTAGAGGATTTAGATTGAAAAGGACATAAGATTTGTTATTTAGTGATATAATATTTGTTAGATTCTTCTATAGAACTTATAAAAACGGTTTAAACATTGTTTATAAAAACAATTCATAATATATATTTTAAAAAATAATTTAATTTAATCTTTTGTTTTAGAAATAGTTTATACACATGTTTAAGGATGTGTTTTATACTAGGCTTAATTAAATTTTTAGTCAGTTAACTAAATTATTTGTTTTATGTTGGTTTTTTAATAAAGGTTATTGAAAATAGGAGATGAAGCGATAGTGTAAAGTAATTTTATATTGTCAACCAATCAATATCGTGTATTATATTAAATCACTTTTATATTTTAAAATTACTTAATTGACATGGCTGATTGTTGGTTAATTTTTAAACAATTTTCAGTGCTGTCCAAACTCTTCTTTTAATTTGTTTAATAGTTTTCTAATTCTCTAGGTTAATTTTGAGGTTCATTTTAATCATTTAATTTTAAAAAGGTTTATGTTAGTTATTAGTTTTTTAAAATGTGTCAGGTTAGTCATCTTCTTCTAATTAGCTATGAATCTAACGATCGATTTTTGAATTTTTAACATACTAAACTAAAAAAATAATATTAAATCTTGTTAATTTGTTAACTTTTAATCAAAATGTTAAATTTATACATGTGATATAGCTATGAATCTAGCTATCGATTTTTAAATTTTTAACATATTAAACTAAAAAAAATAATTAAGTCTTGTTAATTTGTTAACTTTTAATCAATCTGTTAAATTTATACATGTGATATATGACATGACAAGTGAGTTTCACACGACATCAAATAATTCACCGCTGATTTGACATTAAGCATTAATAATATTTTTAAAAGATCATTATGTGTTCCTAACTCTCATTTAAATCCTCAATCGACTATCTAAATTGAACAATGTTATCCACAAAAAATATACATCTCAGTGTAAACTCTTGGACGTGTTCCTTGAATACATCCAAGATTAAGGTAAAAAGACAAGGGCTTAGAGTTTAACCTTGATGTTAATATATTGTAATGGAGATATCGTTAGACTCTCCACTTTGTGTCTGCACACTAGTCGATATCCCTTCATATATATCTTAGATAACTCGAATATATGCAAGCCTAATCTCTTTCTTCTTTAGAGCTTTACATAAAAACTCTATAGGCACTCTATCATACACCTTCTCCAACTAAAAAAATTAAGTGCAAGTTTTGTTGGTCTATCTGATATTGCTCCACCATGCATCATAGTAGATAAATCGCTTATATGGTCGACCTTTCAAACGTAAAACCAAATTGATTCTCAGTGACTTGAGTCTCTTTTCTTAGTCTCTGTTCATTCACTCTTTCCCATAACTTCATGGTATGACATAAGTTTAATCCCTTTATAACTTGCACAATTTGTATATCCTCTTATTCTTATATAATGAAACTAAAATGCTTTTTCTCCATTCATCTTCTCTATTCAATCAAGGATCACAATTGATAGGGTTTGGGCAGGGTACTTACCTGTTCCCATATCCGCGGTTTAAAAAAATCCTCGTATCTAAGCTCATATCTGCATCGGCTCTAGTGTTCATACCCATACCCATACACATTTATCCCTGTTTGTAATAAAATTAAATCGATTAATTATAAAATATCATATAATTTTAAGTTTTTTTTAACATTATTAAAATATTTTGGATGTTATTGTTGAGTTAAAAATGAATAAACACTTTTATTAAAATGTGTAATATTTTAATAGCAAATACTTTTTTTTTAAAATTGATAAACATACATTTTTATATAATATAAATGACATTATATAAATATGTAGTAAAAATATGGGATGGGGTGGGTAGTAAGCAGGGGTGAGAATAAACTGGGTCGAGCTATGCTTTGCTAAACCTGAGCCTGACCTGCTAAAAATTTCAAAGTCTAAGTCTGATTTATAGTCTATCATAGGATTATTTGTAGGCCTGAGCCTAGTTTATTTGAAGGTCTGATTGGCCTATTAGCCTGCTTAAAAGCATATTTCATTTTAACATTTATAAATAAGAAATTCAACTAATGTTACATAGATTAAAATTTAAAAGATCAACGAGACTAAATATTTGTTTTATTGACTTATTCGAGTTTACCTATTAGCATAAGTTTTATGATACTATTTGTTTGAGATAACATATGAAAACAACTTATGACAACGATTTATGACAACGACTTATGACATTATTCATAAGTTTTTTTCATAAGTTTTTCAAGATAACAAAGCAATTTTTTTTGTACATTAACTCAAAGTACAAAATACAATATAATAATAATAAAGTTATTCATGTTTATTTAAATAGGCCAATCCAATAGACTTTAAAGACTATTTTTATGGCTCGGGGCCTATCATTTTTAGTTAAATTGACTTATAAAAAAGTCTAGGCCTTTTTTGTTTAAAAAAGTCTGACCTAGCCTAAGCCTGTGTAGGTTAGGCCGTATGCCTCTGTTAGTTGGCATGTCCTATTCCCACCCCTAGTAGTAAGATATTTGTGTCTGCACCCTTAACCGCTTATTTTAATGGATAATTACCCGTGCCCGTACCCATATCCATTTTGCGGGTTTTTATCCTATCCATTGTGGCTATTTTTTGCTGGTATCTATTGGGTATGGGCCAAATTGTCATCCCTATATTCATCTAGCATTTTTTTTACTTCATAATTTCATCAAAGAGTTTGGTGAACCACTCAATACCTCTATCTCTGAGAACTTTTCATACTTCAATAGGTATGATGTCTGCCCCAACCACCTTACTATTACTCATCATTTTCAATTGCTTAACCTTTTGTTTATGAATTCGACGATAATAATTATAGTTTCAATCTTTTTTTCTAATGTTGAGCTTGCTAGAGTCTGGTGAGATATCATATCGTTCATTAAATAAATTATAGATTCGTCCCCCACCAATCCTTTGCATATTTTTTCTAAATCAAAAATTGGCATTCATCTTTAACACTCTTTAACACACTTCAGTTGATTCAAATCTCATGTCTTTTTCTCTCTTTCCTTAACAAGCATATATATATATATATATATATATATATATATATATATATATATAGATTTTTCTCATTCCTTAATTTCTAAAGATCGGTATAATCTATCAAAAGTTTGGATTCTAGTTTCAGACACCACCTTTTTGTCTCATTCTTAACTTTCTTACACTTTTTCTAAGTGTTGACATTTTTATACTTAGACTATTCTTTAAAACAATTTTTTTTTCACTTTTAACTTTAGTAAAACACTTCTATTTCACCACCACAACTCTATATCTCTAAGTCCAAAATCTCTTGATTCTTTCCGGTCTCTTTAACCACTTTTCTAATATCTTAAATTATCTTATTCTACACAGTAAATTTCTCTTGAAATTTTTTCTTCACTGGACTTTCTTCATAAAATTTCCTCGGTTAAATCTATAATGAGTCTTTCCTATAACTATTCTTTGGTGAGTCTCCCTTACAACTTTCCTGATAAATCTCTTGGATATTCTCAACTGTCTTTTAACTTTCTCGATTTGTTGAATTTTTTTTTGGAAAGTTTAATAAAATCTAGGATCTTTTTAATTTTTTCCGAATACTTTTTGTTTTTAAGATAAAAGCATTTTTTATATATATTTAGGAATGTGAGAAATACCATATTAGTTTATGATACAGAAAATTGAATTTAACTGAACTAAATCATAAAAAGATTAATCGAACTAAAACATTTTTATTTATTCAAATTTAAATTGAACTCAATTATTAATTCGGTAAACTCTAAACTGTACTTAACTAAACTGTTGGTGAACAATTATTTTTCAAACCAAATTGTATGTTCCGATGAAGAGAACTGTTATACGTTTTTTATAATTTTCTTGGCAGTTTTATAGTTAGGGTATTAAGCTTTGTAGTTTACATTATTACTAATTGAAGAAAGCAAATAATAATAGTAGCCTTCAAACCTCATAGGGGGTGTTAATATCAAGCTTCATAAATCAAGATAACCGAAGAAAAAGCATCACATACAACGAAGGTTACATATAATATGAACATCTAAAGAAGTGTTCAAGACCGAAACTTTACTATTTTTAATAAAATGTGATATCCTTTATTTTTTTTTTATAATAAAATTCATTCTCTTACTAAAGATCATAACAAAAAAAACTACCTTTAACCTTTCTGGATGATCAGTATTAGACAAAACCATCAATGGGAACTAAACCACGAACAATGGCGTGGGCCAGTGCCAAAACTGACAGCAATGAGGAAATTCCTAACTTGAATTTGAAAGTAAAGCTCGTAGAAGCTAGCTTTTTCTTATTTCCTATTCAATTCTAGAAACAGCCAAACACTCCCTAAGTACAACTTCTAAACTAAATCAGAATGCCAATTAACCAGCTCAATTTTTGCCAGGCTCCAAATTCATCTCCTGAAGATTCAGCAAAAGATCATCTGAATTCAGGTAAATCTTGTTTGCTGCATTTGATATAATGTGTGCAATCTCTCTTGCAGCTTCAATCTTCCTCAGTGCGATGAAAGCTGGATTGTTGGCAATGGCTTGTCCGATCAGTATGGCACTTTTAGCCTCACCCTGTTGATTTGTAAGAAAGGTCAGGGGGAACTAAATATTTAGGAAACAAAAATAGGTCTCACATGCAAAGATGAATCCAACATCATGATCAAGAGAACACATAAGACAGTATGAATTTTGGCGCTAGATAGAATAATAAGCAACACTTTCCAATTGTAATAAGCATTAAAAATATAGAATAGCAAAAACTTGTACCAAGCACCACAGCAGCAACAACTGTTTAAGTATTAATAGTTTCTTCTTACCTGTGCTCTGATCACAGCACTTTTTTTGTCTTGCTCAGATTTCTCCACAACAAATTTGGCCCTCTCAGCTTCTTGTGCAGCCACCTGCTTGGCTTCAATTGCAGCAGTAAACTCCTTGCCAAAGGTCAAACTAGTAATCGACACATCATCAAGAGCAATATTAAAGTTGGCTGCCCTCTCAGTCAGGATCTTTCGGATTTCACGACTAACAGCCTACAAAGAATAGGTTAGTTAAAACAGATACTTCTTTGTTGATAATTGAAATTTTCGGTGATGTGAATCAAACAAACAACACATTAGTACTTACCCAGTTCACATGAGATTAAAACAATAAACAACTATTAGAATTTCGTTTTAATTTTATATACTAACTGTATTGTGCAAGTGGATAATATTTTAAAGCACTAATCATGTGTATGTATCCGTTGGGCTCCTAACAAATATAGAAACAAAAATAATTTAACATGACTTGCAAAAGAAAATAGACAGCTCAGCAAAGAGCAACTTTGTTCATATAATAACTTGAGGTTTCATGATTCACGCCAACAAGATTTTTTCCTTACCTCTTGCTGGGTAATAAGCTGGCTGGCGTTGTACTGGGCAACCACAGCTTTCAAAGTTTCATGTATGATTGAAGGTAAAACCCTTTCATTATAATTCTCGCCAAGGGTCCGATAAACTGTAGGTAACTGGCTGGGCAAAGAACGGGTAAGAACTCGAAGACCAATTTTCACCTGTAAAGTGTATATGCAATTTAAAGAAAAGATCAATATCTCACACGTTTAAATTTACAAAACATCTATAGTGTACTAGTCTATAAACATGAAGAACTGGAAATTGGTTTCATGAAGCCAAACATCTCTTCAACCTATAATTAAAACTTCTAACATTGTCATCCAAATAAATTATAAGAGGTATAAATAAGGCATCAAGCAACCCTGGGAAAGTGGGAGAATGGAAATTTAGCAGATATATTATGTGAGAAAGTATGGATGCCAATACAGAGGCTAAACATGAAAAGCAAACCAAACCAGTAGTTCAGAAATGCGAATTTTTTTTATTAATAACCAAGTATTAAAAAAATATTTCGCGAATAACCGGGTTTCGGAAAAAATTACGCAAATAACCATGTTTGAGATGACTCCATAAAGGAGGAGTCATCTCATTTGGCGCATCCTCCTCTTTTTATAAGGGAGGCGCCATCTCATTTGGCGCCTAAGGGCAAATGGCAAGCCCTAAGCCAAGTGAGATGGCGCCTATGTACAAAGTTAGGTCAAAAAAAATTTTTTTTTTCTTTCCTGCGCGTTGCGTATTAGACAGAGATAAACAAAATTGATTTTTTATTTGATAAAAAATAATTACATTGAACTGTTTTACATTTAAATAACAGTAAAAAAAAAGATACAAAAAATACTGGAAAAAAAAAAGATACATCAATGATCCCCAGGAACTCGGTAATGACCCCCAGTTCCGCATCCCCGTCCTCGCCTTTCTCTTGCTGGGTGCCGTCTCGTTTCCTGTTGCGGCAAGGTCGATGGCCCAGCGAAGTCAATGCGATCCGAATCCATAAAATCAGTAAGATCTCCATATCTCGAAGATCCGCTCTGGTACAGTCGGTTACCCATACCCTCGAAGTTTGGTCGTGTTGGCGGTGGGTGGGGTTCCATGGTTGGTCGGTAGCATTGGTCGTCTGAGTATGAGGGGTAGAAAGGAAATGGATCTTGGGGTGTTTGGTACTGTGGATGTTGGGTTGTTTGGTGATATGGTGGTTGATGGTAGGTTTGGTCGGGTTGGTCATAATCTTCTGACATTCCCATATCAGGGCTAAGGCTGGATGTTGAGGGCCCCATATTGGGATATGTGGAAGACTGAAATTGTGTATGGGGTATGTGGGTTTGCTGGTATTGGGGTTGGTATTGTGGTTGGGTTTGAGGCATATCTGGGTATTGGTAGTTTGGCGGTGACTGTGGTTGGTAGTACGGCATTTGGTTGTAGTTGTGTTGTGGTGGGGAATGTGGTTGTGTGTTTGTTGGTCTGTTTCTTCTAGGGGGTTGGTTTGAGGTTGATGGATTTTGGGTTTGTTGGTGGGGAATCGAGGGTTGTGCCCATTGTGTGCGTGGGTCAACCAAGTACCTCGGATGAGACACGTGCATATCTGGGTTACTAACCGACCTGTACCACGACATATATTGATCGGTGTGTCGCATGTTACCTTGAGTAAGGAAAATAGGGGATTGCAAGATGTAGCGGTGACGCCTTTGCCACATTTTACACCATTCTGGAGCAAAGTCTTTCCAGTTGGTTAGATTCCACTGGGCGTCGACCCTTTTTAGATGCCAGGGGGACAAATCTGTTGGATCACTTGGTATGTCTTGGATCATTCCGAACTGCATCTTCACACGGTCGCTGTGGTGCATCTCCACAATGTTGAACCGAATGAGTGCAGTCTTTGCAGTCCAAGTTGCTGCATCCTCTGGATTTGGAGAATGGTCCAAACCCAAATATGGTCTCCAGACGAACTGCGATAAAATTTAAATCAGGTAAGCGCAAAAGTAATGTATAAATAATTAAAATGAACAAAAGTTAAAAGCTACGACTTACGTCATCTGGGCCTAAGTGATCCAACAGATTCCGGTAGAGTGCGACATTGAATCTGGGATTCTTGCCGTAATCCATACCCCTCACGCAGTACCTATAGGAAATGAGAAACATGTTATTTTTAGCATATATTTTGGAAAGAGAAGAATAGTTATAAATGCTATAACTTAATGACTTACTTTGTTGCGTAAGGGAAACCAAAAGTGTTGTTGTTGATGGGGTTTAAGGACTCCATCCTCCACCAACCCCAGGCTTGTAGTAAAAATGCGCACCCATAAAATGTACATTTTTCCTTGACTGCGTTTTTGCACAAGGAACTGTACAGGTGGGCTAATACTGCAGAACCCCAACTAAATTTTCTAGTTTTATCAAAATTTGTTAGTAAATGTAAGTACATGAAATTTACACTATTTCCCGTACTTTCGGGAAATAAAAAAGTACCAAAAAGTATCATAATATAAGTTCGGGCTTTTACTACTCGGTCATTCTCTGAGGAATTTTCATTTAATTCCATACTTGCATAATGCCGTTTCAGGTCAGTGAGTAGTATTCCCTGCCCTCTTGCTCCACCACCTTCTACCATGTCCCTACCTAACAGTTCCTCACACTGTGAGTTGGGTTGTTGAACCGACCCGTTCACTGCTTTACCGTCAATAGGGAGGCCCAGTAGCATGTACACATCTTCGAGAGTGATGGTACATTCACCTATTGGTAGGTGAAATGTATGGGTCTCCGGTCTCCACCTCTCCAACATTGCAAGGATGAATTTGGAGTCAATGGTGCAGTTGGAGATCTTTATCACGTGTCCAAAACCTGCATATTCCAGATAAGGGACGATGAAAGGGTCGGGAGCCAGGTATTTGTGCGAACGGATTCTGAATCTTTGTGTATCCTGAGATCATAATTAAACAAGAGTAAGATTAATTAAGATGAACAACACGTTTTTTAAAGTATGAAAATGTATAACCAAAGAAGAGACTTACAAATGCAACAATGTTTTCCCTTGTGCCTCTGTGAGTTTCTCCCATTGTTAGAAGGGCCATTCTTCAGAACGCTTGAGAGAATGAAAGACTTAGGAAGAAATAGAGAGTATGATAGACTTAAGAAATATTTCGTAGCAGAGAGTGAGAGTTGTGTGGGTGTGAGAGATGTTTCATAAGGTATGTATTTATAGGCAAATAATTTTGATGTAGTGGTTGCATGCCTGCGAGGTGTCACATTTGCATGCTTAGGGAGTTACACATATGCATGCATGCATTTACAAATAATGTAAGGTGTCACTCTTGCAGGCTAGGTGGCAGCCCATGCATGTATCACGATTGGACAGTAAGGGAGGCGCCATCTCACTTGGCGAAATAGTACAAAAATGAATGGTGTCGCCACCCCATTTGGCGAATAAGAGGTGTCACGTTTTACAGCATTGGCTCAGGCTACGTGACAGCCTTTGGGATTCCTTTCTCTGTTGCATGCAAGGCCATTGGAGTAGATGGGTGGCAGGCTTAGACAAAACATTAATGTGTGTATTATAGGGCCAGGCTAGGTGGCAGCATAAGCCCATGCATGTATCACGATTGGACAGTAAGGGAGGCGCCATCTCACTTGGTGAAATAGTACAAAAATGAATGGTGTCGCCACCCCATTTGGCGAATAAGAGGTGTCACGTTTTACAGCATTGGCTCAGGCTACGTGACAGCCTTTGGGATTCCTTTCTCTGTTGCATGCAAGGCCATTGGAGTAGATGGGTGGCAGGCTTAGACAAAACATTAATGTGTGTATTATAGGGCCAGGCTAGTTGGCAGCATAAGCCCATGCATGTATCACGATTGGACAGTAAGGGAGGCGCCATCTCACTTGGCGAAATAGTACAAAAATGAATGGTGTCGCCACCCCATTTGGCGAATAAGAGGTGTCACGTTTTACAGCATTGGCTCAGGCTACGTGACAGCCTTTGGGATTCCTTTCTCTGTTGCATGCAAGGCCATTGGAGTAGATGGGTGGCAGGCTTAGACAAAACATTAATGTGTGTAGAATAGGGCCAGGCTAGGTGGCAGCATAAGCCCATGCATGTAATATTATTGGCTGCCTTGGGGGGTTGCATCACTTACTTAATTGAAATATTTTGCCTTAGGTTGAACATAACATTCATTCACATAAACTGTAAAATTTTCCAACCTTCGAATCAGTCATCTAACCTTCAAACATTCCAGCATTCATACCTTCATATAATCAATAAACCCAAAACATTCCCACCTTCATACCTAAAACAATTCTACACAATGGCCTCTTCACCACAATTTGTTGTCAAAGCACATTTCAACGGTGAGACATACATGTGTCCCACAATTGGGTTTTTGTTTAGAAACACCGACAATGTCCGATTTCTCTTAAACGGGAAAGAAAATTTCTCCTACTTTAAGAAAAGATTGGAGGCCAAACTTGAACGAGGCCCGGTATCCCAGATATTTTATCAGAGTCCAGTCTTTTTTGGAAACAACCAAGTCATATTTTATAAGGTTGCAATTCAAGATGACGAGGATTTCCAGAACATGATTTCCAGCCATGTCTATTCTGGAAACGACTCTATTGAGTTGTACGTTCTGTTTCAAGAGCCTCCGGTGACACAGGAGGTTGATCCTTTGGAGAATGAGCAAGATGAGGTGGATGCAGTTGATGATGAAGAAGAAGATAACGGGTTAGAGTTCGATGAAATGGTGAACGACGATTCTGACGATGATGGCATCCCAAGTATTCCTACCGACAAAATCTACACACCACCTACGCACATGACAAACTTCAACATGGGCGGAGATGAACCTTCTACGGACTTGTTTTTCCAACCGTATATGCAATCAGATGAAAATTTAAAAGAGAAGGACAAGTTTCGTAATAGAGAGGAATGCATAAGGGCCATCAAAAAATTTCACATGCTCAACTCGGTTGATTATAAGGTGGATCGTGTAAACCCGGAAAGGTACAAGATCAAGTGTGTCCACCCTGACTGCATGTTCAAGCTGACCGCTTCATACAGACTAAGGGGTGACTGCTGGGTCATAGGTTCCATGACAACCCATACTTGTGTAAGTTCCACTCAATCACAAGACCACCGAAAACTCAACCATGATCTAATCTGTCAAGAAATCCTACCCCTGGTGAGCAACGACCCTTCTTTGAAGGTGAAAACAATCATCTCCCACATCACCACAGTTTTTAACTATACTTCGTCTTACCGTAAGGCGTGGTTAGCAAAGACTAAGGCGATTGAAAGGGTGTATGGAAACTGGGAGGAGTCATACCGAGAACTTCCCTGCTACCTCAATGCACTAAAGACATATTCTCCAGGTAGTGTTTATGTTCTGGAAACATTGCCCGCGTACGCCCAAGATGGTAGTGTACTACATGGCAACGGAATATTCAGTC